CATGGGTAAGTCTGAAATGCGCGAGAGGAGGGGTAAAACCATTGCGCGTTCCTTTCTCCGGCCCTGCGCGCGTTTCAATATTCTATAGAAGGGAAACTAAGGCGTTTTAATTTTTTTTCGCACAGAGCCCTAGCAACTTTAATATAAAATGGGAATCTTGAACTTGACTAGTCAATATTTTTTGTTTCAGCGTCAAAATCTAAGAGCGGTACCAGTTTCCGAGGTGAAATATGAATGGAAAGACACTGATACTCGTTACTGGGTGTACGGGTTGGATCACAAAGTACATGCCCCAGACTACCCCCAAAAGTGTTGTTGGGGCTGCGCCATACTTTAAAACAATGGACAGAAGAGAGATGAAGGAACGGGGACAAACAAATTTCAATGCAAACTATTTATGATGTGAAATAGTTAGACGTCAGGTTTCTCTACATTTTGCGATGGGAATTAAAAAATGATTTTACTTGCTTGATCTCTTAGCTTCATTTCTTTTTCGGAAATGGGAGTAATTTCATGTGAAAAGCAAGAATTAAGTTTACTCTGATTAATTCACTATGCGAACGAAGGCTTTGCTTGAAAGACAACCAAACTACAAACGTAAATCCCATTGATCAACTTTAATGGATGAAAACTTTAGTATGTTTTAATATCTTAAAACTGAATTTGACCGCCGGAATAAAATAAAAATACGTAGGCTAATTTTCACTCAAAAAAAGATTTGTTCGATTTTTAGGCAACGAAACAAAGTAAACATGATTGGCGACTACCAGTCGTCGATTCTCTTCTTTTTCTTATGCTTTCGTTTCGGCTGCCATATTGGTTTGCCAGGTTTAGGTGGCATATTAGCAGCAGCCTTTCTTTCCTTGTACTCTTGCCTGCATGAAAAGACAAGCGAAGGAAAAGTTAAAGTCATTGAAGTCATTTCTTCATTCATCCAGTTCAAGTATAGCACTGGTGTGCATCAATAATTACTTTTTAAAACTGCAAAACTAACGCATCACTCGTTTGGCTACTGATTTTAAACAAGTTGATCTTAAACCTTCACGCCCTAACATCAGAAGCTATTTTCTTCACACCGTTCTTTGTACATTTCTTTTGTTACTGACAAGGAGAATTTCATTGACAATCAGGAGCTTCTGAAATTGGTGATCATTTCCTTTATTCTCATAACTTCTATATTTGATTCAAGAGTGATAATATGAGGAGAGATTAGAAACCAGTCACTATCAGGAGATTAAGGATTAAACAAGAAGGGCATTTCGCAGCACATAACTTACCATTTCCGTCCGATGTATTTCACAATTCGTACACATAATCGGCACACGACAAAACCAGCAACCAGGAAGGCGACAGTGACAGCCAAACCAGCGAAGACAGCATAGACGCCATCTTGCCAAGACAAGAAATCAAAGCGAGCTTGAATATGTATTACATGTTCTGTTGGAAAACAAAATTAATGTCATAAATAGTAAAAAAAGAAAAGTCATAAAAAAATTAGCAATTGTGTACTTTTTTCGCCGAGTCAAATGTAATAACTGAGAAAAAGTCGAACAACTGGCGAAATTAAGAAGAAATCTGAAGCATCCTTTAAAGTGCACCGTGTAGCCCCTATATAGAGAAAATAATAGTTAAGTAATAATGATAATAATAATAATAATAATAATAATAGTAATAATAATAATAACAATTATAATACTAATGATTATAATAATCTATTCCAGCCAAAAAGTGAGAGGTGAAATGGTCACTCTCTCCTCGGCTAGGCCAATTATGACTTGTCAAATTCAAATTGGTGAACAATTGACTTACCACGGAGGAAACCAAAGTAAAACTCGACAGCAACGTCAGTTACATAGCAGACGACAGGAACAAACGGTTCAACAATCCACATAACTCCGTTAGTCATCATCTTGGTCAGCTCAGCTGATATATTTTGGATCATCTTGGCGAACGAATATGTTGCATTTATGGTAAAATCCATCAACCGTCGAAGTCCAGTCCAGATAGCCTCAGCTGACCATTGAATTCCATTCCAGATTACCTCAGCCAACAATTGAAGAGCATTCCAGATAACCTTAGCCAACAATTGAAGTCCTTTCCAGATAACTTCAGGCAACAATTGAAGTGCTTTCCCGATAACCTTAGCCAACCATTGAAGTCCAATCCAAATAACCCTAGCCAACCTTTGAAGTCCAATCCACATAACCTCCACCAACAATTGAAGTCCTTTCCAGATAACCTCAGGCAACAATTGAAGTTCATTCCAGATAACCTTAGCCAACCATTGAAGTCCAATCCAGATAACCTCCGCCAAAAATTGAAGTCCATTCCAGATAACCCCAGCCAACAATTGTAGTCCATTCCAGATACCCATAGCCAACCATTGAAGTCCAATCCAGGTAACATCCGCCAACAGTTGAAGTACATTCCAGATAACCCTAGCCAACAATTGAAGTCCAATCCAGATAACCTTAGCCAACAGTTGAAGTCCATTCCAGAAAATCCCAGCCAACAATTTAATTCCATTCCAGATAACCTCAGCGAACCATTGAAATCCACTCAAGATAACCTCAGCCAACCACTCGGCACACCTCCACAACAATTTCCCAAGCCACCGCGCGCCGTTCCACGTCAAGCCTGAAAGCCATGCGACTTTTCCGCGAGTCCAATTTACCATTCCGATCCAGATGTCTTCAAGTCCATTCCATACTTTGCCAGTCACTGCCCTTGAGACCATGATGCATTTCTTCCATATGCAAGAGGTCAATTCCACCGTACCGTCCTGCACCTGGGTCATTACTGTCACTGTAAAATTCCATATCTGGGATATTAATCCACGGTTTGTAATCTCGAAAGCCTCGTAATCAAAGCATGTTGTTTTTCCGAGATCCTGAATTATTTTCTTGCAATTGAAGATCTGACAATATCAATTTAGAGAAGTTATTAGCCAAGTGACATCAGAAATAGTATTCCGGTTAGTTTGGTATTCTAAGACATAGAAGTAATAAAGATATTGGGAGGATGGGGGGGGGGGGGGGG